CCTGGCGCCACTTGAAGTAGAGTGTTATTTTAAGAGGTAGTTTATACGGATAGGAGGGAAAGATAACTGGTAACTAAGAGGGTCTCGAGAATTCTAACGCGTCGATATGCCTCCCACACCCGGGATTGCGACCAGCTTGAACAGGTTGTTGTGATCGGGTAAAAATGCCCTCGGGAGTTGGTTCTACAGAGCAGTGGTTCGCGGGAAGAAGCTGTTAGAGTGGAACTTACTTCTAACCAATGGAATAAGGAGGGAATGAAGGTGGTTTGCTACAATGTAAGTGGCATGGCAGGTGCTAGCTATGAAGGTTAGAACTGGCTGAACCAAAGAATGTAGTTCGTCCGAGCACATTCCATAGAAGTAGCGATGGAATAGTGAGAGGCTTGTTACATCCCGCTTGTGTGTGTGTGGGGGGGTGTATTATCATGGAGTGTGGAAAATAATTTGTTCGCCACCAGGACTCGAAAACGCTTTGGAACTTCATCGGGACTGGAAAATGAAGATTGGGCAGCTCCCGCCCAAATATGACAAGAGTACTCTATTTTCGGCCTGATCTGGCCCTTGGAAGGGTAGAGGATAGCATGAGAAATCAGATAGTTACTGAAGTGGTACAAGAAGCCGACCATTTTTCCTGCAACTTTAACGATGGATCGTATGCACGAGTTCCACTTGAGGTCTGGGTGCGCGTTTAAGATCCAATAGTCTCTCAAGGCATGGTCCTTCTATGAGGGGACATCCATTCATCGTGATTGGCGGTAGTTCGTGGTCCGATCGACGATGATGGAATGTAACCAGTTTAGTTTTCGAGGCATTGAATGTAACTGGCCAGTCTTTCCCCAACTAAGATGTTAGAGCCAGATCAGATGAGAGATCAGTTGCCAATCTCTGACCATCATAAGTTTGGGAGATGACCCCCACTATTTCGCCGTATTCTCGGCTGGAAATAAAGATTACGTTCGTGATGAGATTCCAACTCACGTCCCTTTGCTAGTTTATTTACCTATTTATTTGCCTCCGGTCTTCATCTGGGTGACCAACAGAGAAATCCTGAATTGAAACCTTTATTTTGACATCAGGGGTAGAGTGTTCTTGTTCCTCTACATATGTATAGGAATATCTTGTCTAGTTCTTATATTTGTACTGTTTAATCATTGATCACCGAATTTCCACAGAGCCTACGTACACACTGATCGGCTCAGGGATTGAACTCACAATTACCATTTTACCAAATTCACGAACCAACACTTTAATCCGCGGGACAATAGCCAAGTGAATTAAAACTTGGTGACATGGTAATTAAGTTCAATCTCTCGGCCGGGCAGTGTATTTGGGCTCAGTGGAAAGCCGATGAACAAAAACTGGGCAGTACTAAAACTAAAACCTAAACGAGATATACGTATATAGCAACAGACGAAATATTCTTAGATAACAACAAGAAAGATAACGATAATAGTCTGTATTTAAATCGTGGAAAAATTTAGACAGAATTTAAAAGTGAATTGAAGGCCCCATCGCTTTAACTGATATAACTACAAGAACTTAGTGGTTTTTAAAAAAGAACAAAATAACCAGTAATATAAGAGGCCATGAAAGATGCCTTCAAAAAGCTAAGCAGATTATTAAGAAATCGAAAATAATTCGTCAAGAACAAATAGCGCGAAACTGTTTTTGTCTATATTTCTGAGATAAGGTATCGTAAGTATTTACATTATTTACATGGTTCGGACTGTTGTCTTCATCTTTATTGCCATATTCACGACGTTTTGACCGTTGTACGCTCCAGCCTTTGTCAGTATCTGTCGATATTTCTGAGATTAGGTATCGTAAGTATTTAAACTAGTTACATTGTTCAGAATGTTGTCCTCATCTTTATTGCCATATTCACGACGTTTCGGCCGGTGTATGCTCCAGCCTTCATCATCATCTGTCTATATTTCTGAAAGGATGCATTGTAACTATTTACACTCTTTACATTGTTTTGACTTTTGTCCTCATGTTTATTGCCATATTCACGACGTTTCGGCCTTTGTATGCTCAAATCTTCTTCAGGTGATATTTGTTTAAATTCAAACCGTACCCTTTATATAGTTCACGGGGCTAGATTGTTCTAATTCCACGTGCCATACCTTTGGATATCACAGTTTTAGTTAATTCCCCTTGATAACCCATCTATCGAAGTTTTTGTTCCCTCTGCTGTGACCAGGGATTGAACTCACAACTCTTTGGGTTGAGTCACATGGATCAATCAATCAGCGCTTTTACCCAGTGGGGCATATCTCCTTGGGCCATGTGTCCTTGGCGCCATGTGCAAAAAGCGAGTAATATTTCACCCGAAGTAAGGCGCTAATGCCACTAAGAAGCAAGGGGCTACTTATGGTGAAAGATTAGGAGAAGGCACTAGAATGAACCGGAAACACAATCCATGGAACAAGGGATAAATCTCTACTCCCATTCAAAAGACCAGGAAGGAGTATGAACCGAACAATAGTCGAACCTATCTACTCCTATAGAGAAAAACATAATTATTAAAAAGAAATTTCAGTCTAGGCGGAGACATTAGAAATATAGAGTTGAAGTAGATTTTAGAAGGAACCGGGAACCCAATCCGAAACAGGAAACAAGAGATAAACCCCTACTACTGTTCAAAAGGGAGAGGAGGAGCGTGAACAGGACGATTGGCAAGCCTATCTACTCCTAGTATGTTGTGGAGAGCCATGATCGCCCGCATACTGAAGGAAAATGGCTCGTAATTAGATATTTGTTTATGTCTGAAATAAAATTGAACGTCATACAAGAAAAATTCAAGATTAAAATATTTTTACAAGAAAAAAAGAGAGTCATATTTTTTAAACTTCCAAACCGTTTTTTTTCTAGGAACATAAAGCCTGATGGAACCTTTCCTTTTATTTTTATTCCTTTTTTTCACGACAGATCCTATCTGTTATCGGATATCAGAAACGGAGTAATATGGAAAAGCGAAATTTTTAGAATCAATCTGAAAATTTTCAGTTACAATTTTTATATATTTTTATTTGCAAATGAGTTTGTCAGACACAAAAAATAGACTGAAAAAGATACGAAATCAATGACGTTATGATAAAAGAATTCTAAAATATTCCTGAACGAAATGAAGACGTTAATTCGTTTCTGTCGACAGAGGAAACATAAAAAGAAAAACCAAGTGGATATCCATAGACAGAAACACAACAACATATCAATCTCAGCTTCAAATATCAGATTATATTAGAAATATTTACAATATCTTATTTGCTAATGTTAGATTTAATATGCAACACACGCAATACACACACACACACACACACACACACACACACATATATATATATATATATATATAATGTACATTTAAAGAAAACCAAATACATTGGTGAAACGAACAGGCAACTTGACAAAAGAACTAACACCCTAATCAGGAGGGAATCTCGAACAGGGAAAGCAAAAAGAGGAAAGAAAGAGAAAGTAGACACGTATCAACTCAGTAAAAAAGGTGCGCAAAGCCTAGATTACCTAAACAGAGCAAAAACACTTCACAATCTGAATTCCTATCAAAGGAAAGTCCGAGTTGTTACTCAAGTATCACGCTTACGCAATCTTCAGAAGACTAGAAACATTTTAATAGTCTGAAGATCGTGTGTGCGTGAAACTTGGGTAATGAATCGTGCTCTCATATATATATATATATATATATATATATATATATGAAATAAAATAAAACAAATCTGAATAAACCAGTTGCTTCCTACCAAGGTTTCACCACATGTAATCATCAGGGTGAACTGGTTAGGTCAGCCTGATGATCCCATGTGGTGAAACTTGGGTAGGTACGTACCTGGCTCATTAGGATTTATTTCAGAGTCTGTCTATATTTCTGAGATGAGGTATTATGTACAGTATTTACATTAGTCGGACTATTGTCCTCATCTTTGTCGCCAATTTCGAACTGAACCCTTTATTTCGATCACTGGGGTAGACTGTTCTAGTTCCACGTGCCATGTTTGATGGATGTCAGTTATCAGTTATCTCCTGCTAATTTTCCCTCTGAAAGTTCTCCACTGCCTTAACCAGGTATTGAACTCACCTTCTTTGGGTCTGTCACTGGATCTAACCAACGACTTTATCCACTGTGCCATGTGTCCTTGACACATGGCACAGTGGATAAAGGTTGTGACAAATATGGCGACAAAGATGAGGACAATAGTCCGACTAATGTAAATACTGTAGGATTTATTTATATTACTTTTCCTCTCCTTAGTGTCTTGAGCACTCCTCGTTTTAACTCGCTCTTTTTGTTTTCTTTGTACCAGAGATTTTAAGGAACTGGGCGATTTCTTTCGCTGTGTTCGGAGGTTTCTGGTGCTTTCTTTTTTTTCCATTTTTCCTCGGATGGCATATTTATGTGAAAGTTGTGCTCTCCAGGTTTACTCACCCACTGTGTTTAAATAGATTTACATTATATATATATATATATATATATATATATATATATATATATATATGGCAGCATCTCGTTATTGAACACGTGTTATTGAACACTAATAATATAATAACATTCCTTCGATTTTTTCAAGTTTTTTTTTTTGAATTTAGGTCTAAGTTGTTCAAAAAAGACCCTCCGTATTTGGTGTGTTGCCGAGCGCTTTCCGTTCAAATGTACAAAGAGTGTAATGCGTCATACGAAACAAGATATTTGCAAATTTATCGAGTAACTGCGACGAAGAGTCGGAAATTGCCCAAAATGTTGAACTGACATCAATGAAAATGAAGAATGAAATTAAAAACCTTTGCAAGATAAGAACAAGTAGAAATTAATCTGTGAAAAATTGAAAGTATAACAAGAAAATGGATTGGATTGCAAGAGAATAAAAAAGAATCTCTGAATACGGAAATATTTTCAACAAGGGACGGAATTAATGAAATTAAAGGAAACAAAAGGAACGGATTCCTGAGAGTGAAAGCGAAAGAGAAGACAAAAAAATGACAAGGTGTTCAAAGAGAGAGGACCAAGGGGTTACTGAGAGTGAAAGCGAAAAAGAAAATAAAAATGAACAGGGTTCATAGAGACAGAATGAAGGGGTTACTGAGAATGAAAGCGAAAGAGAAAATAAAAAAAATGAACAGGGTTCATAGAGACAGAATGAAGGGGTTAGTGAGAGTGGAAGCGAAAGAGAAAATAAAAAAATGAACTGGGTTCAAAAAGACTCACGCAAGTGGTTAATTAGAGTGAAAGCGAAAAATAGACAATAAAATGAACAGGGTTCAATCAGAAAGGAGCAAGGTGTTACTGAGAGTGACTACAAAGAGAAAATAGAAAACTGAGCAAGGTTCAATGAGAATGAATCAAGTTTGTTAATGAGAGAGAAATGGAAATAGAAGACAAAAAATGAACAGGGTTCAAACAGACTGAAGCAAGTGGTTAATGAGAGCGAAAAATAGGCAAAAAAATCAACAGTGTTCAAGGAGAGAAAAGCGAGGGATTACTGAGAGTGAAATCGAAAGAGAAGACAAAAAATGAACAGGTTTCAAGGATGCAGAATCAAGGGGTTACTGATAGTGAAAGCGAAAGAGACGTCAGAAAGTGGTTAATAAGAGTGAAATCGAGAGCGAAGACAAAAAATGAACAGGGTTCAAGAGGACTGAAGCAATTGGTCAATTAGAGTGAAAGCGAAAAATAGACCAAAAAATGAACAGGGTTCAAGGAGAGAGAAGCAAGTGGTTACTGAGATTGAAATAGAAAGAAATAACAAAAAAATGAACAGGGTTTAAAGAGGCTGACCCAAGCGGTTACTGAGATTGAAATAGAAAGAGAAGTCCGAAAATGAGCAGGATTCAAAGAGACTGAAGCATGTGGTTAATGAGAGTGAAAACGTAAGAGAAGACAAGAAATGAACAGGGTTCAAAGTCACAAAAGCAACGGTTTACTGAGAGTGAAAGCGAAAGAGACGTCAGAAAATAAACAGCGTTTAAAGTGACAGAATCAATGTGTTACTGAGAGTGAAAGCGAAAGAGAAGTCAGAAAATGAACAGGGTTCAATGATACTGAAGCAAGGGGTTACTGAGAGTGAAAGCGAAAGAAAATTAAAAAATGGACATTGTTCAAGGAGACAGACGCAAGCTTAGATGAAAGAATCAGAGATCACTAAACGAAAATTATTCAACGAGATGGCAAATATCGATTTCAGCTGCATTCAACTCCTTGAAGCTCGTAGTTAATCTGAAAGTATATCATAAGCCGTGAGTTCTAGATGCACGTATTGCGGCCCAGCCTCGCCACAATTTCCTATCCTTTGTACTTCTTAGTAAGCTTTGTCTTTTCACCAATGGCTGCCGGTCCTTCTTCTCTTGCTATCAATTTGCACAAGCAGCGTTACGTTTAGGGTTATTGGATGTTCTCTTTAGTTCCTCTTGCTTTTAATATATATCCTCTGTTCCAAAACTTTCAATCTTCTCTTTCGGATTCTAAGTATAAGTATGTCCGTTTTGTACCATCTCCACGAAAGTTCTCTCGTTAGTCACATATTTCGTCCATAATATTCTCAGCATCTTTCTGTAGAATCACATTTTTGTTGCTTCAAGTGTTTTCTTCATCTGTAAAGGGATTATCCAACATTTACTGTAGTGTAAATGGTCCTTTATTATATAAGAAGTTCAGTACTCTTTACTTCGTTTCTAACAAACTTTTCTTGTTCCTTAATACTTTGCTTAGTTTTTGGAAGGCATCTTTCGCTATTCCAATTCGCATTGGGATTTCAGTACCACATTTTCTGTCCTCTATTAAAACAGTTCTCAGATATTTCAATTTTCGCACTTGATTCTCTCTGATATCTCCTGACATTAATTCGCATCTTGAGCCGTTCCTCATGATACATTCTTTCTTCTTACAATAGATAATTAGTCCTTTCTTCTCGCTTTCCTTCACTGCCTTGTGTAGGACTTCCTTTAATTTCCTTTCTGTGTCTGCTAGTAACACTATCTCGTCTCATTTACATATATTATGTTGTTAAGATTGTGTCTGCGAATAACTTATACTGGTTTTATCGTGATCGACTCGGTATAAATGTTGAATATGTCCGGTGAGAAGACACAGCCTTGTCTTACACCTCTTTCTATTTTTGAGTATTTACTAAATATATTTTCTCTCCGTATGCAGGTGGTTCGCTCACAGTATAATTTGTGCTTACTTCTAATAGATTTCCCAAATAAATCATGTTTACCTAAAAGTTTGAACCGTTCCTATATCAAATGCTTTTACATAATCTATAAAACACAGGTTTACATCCTTTTGCATTGGCATTGCTCTTTCTGATATCATCCTGAATACAAATATGGCAACCCTTGTTAAAAACCATTCGATTATTTCTGCATCGCTACATTTATTCTATTATTCGCTATACGAAAATTTGACGTCTCATATTTCAATGTCGTTATAATTAATATTGTCAGCTTTATTTATAAATACTTTCATAAAAACAACTTCTGAAACTTTCAGATAAACTAGAAAATTTTATCCCCAAAATGAAATAAAAGTAATTTCCTTCAAAACAATTTTTTCGTAGTCTTACGTGTACTAATTCAGCAAATTACAATGATGCTTGTCCCATCATCACGATCGCAATGAAATAATACGAAGCCAAGAATGAAAATCTAAAAATAAAAAAAAAAACCGACATCAGACTAAATTACCAAACAGAATTTTTTAAAACACTTTCTTGGCTAGGTCGACAAGTTTATACCCCTCCCTCGTAAAAATCTTAATATTTAATGTCTAAATATTTCCTAAAGGAATAATAATGACGTCTATAGTAATGGCTATGCTAAACAATGATTGAAATCGTTATGGCGATTTCGGTGTCAATTCTGGGTTCGTACTGACAGCAGAAGATTTGATCAAACGTAATAAATAAAAGTCCCTACTGGATATTAAGTCCGTCAGTAGAATGAATTATTATTAGCTGCATCGAAAGGCGAGAATGATAGAAAATAGTGTTGAAGGGAAAAAAAGAAGGGAAAATGAAGAAATAAAAGACAGTTCTCTTGAATGAAGCGCAAAAACGAATAATTGAAATAAGAAGAAATACTTTATGAACAATTAAGAAAAAAAGAAAATGATATACAATGCCTGGTGTTCAGGATGAAGATGAAATCGAAGCGCGATAATAATGAACAGTAGATAGGAATGAATTTTGAAAAGAAATGCAAAGAGATAATATGTGAGTAGGAAAATAAAGGAGGAGGAAGGAGAAGAACAAGACAGGAAAGTTGAGAAAAGAAGACGACGACGACGAAGAAGAAGAAGAGGAGGAGGAGGAGTAGGAGATTGGGGGGAGGAAGAATATCAAGAAGAGGAGGAGAAGGAGTAACAAGAGGAAGAGGAAGAAGGAGAAGAAGACAACGACGACGACAACGACGAAGAAGAAGCAGAACAAGAAGAAGAAAAAGAAGATGATAACGACGAAGACGACGGCGAAGAAGAAGAAGAGGAGGAGGAGGAGGAGGAGGAGATGGGGGGAGGAAGAATATCAAGAAGAGGAGGAGAAGGAGTAACAAGAGGAAGAGGAAGAAGAAGAAGAAGACAACGACGAAGACGACGGCGAAGAAGAAGAAGAGGAGGAGGGGGAGGAGGAGATAGAAGAAGAAGAAGAAGAAGAAGAAGAAGAAGAAGATGATGATAACGACGAAGACGACGGCGAAGAAGAAGAAGAGGAGGAGATAGAAAAAGAAGAAGAAGAAGAGGAGGAGGAGGATAGGAGGAGGAGGATAGGAGGAGGAGGATAGGAGGAGGAGGAGGAGGAGGAGGAGGAAGAATATCAAGAAGAGGAGGAGTAAGAAGAAGAAGGAGAGGAGGGGGAAGAGGAAGAAGGAGGAGAAGTCTCGATTTCTTGATTCATTTTTATGGTTTATCCGCATTTGCAGGTTATTTAAAGCCAGAAAATATTCTTAGATTGTAATTTTTTGCTATAAAAACGATGTATTGATACAAGTCTCACTAATTAATCCATAGCTGGGTGGATTCATATCTTTTCAAAAGGTATTTTGACGTAAGTAAATATAACGAATTTACCTGGAATTGAAACTCGGTTCTCTGATTAACAATTCAGAGCCATTATCCATTACACCACCCGCACAACCAAGCCTGCAGCAGCTGCTATTCCCAAGAGGTCACCCATTTAGGTACTGATCAGGCTCAACCTTGCTTAGCTTCGGTGAGCGTACGGTAACCGATATTTCAACCTTATATAGCCGTAAGCCTTAGAAGAAAGGAAGAAAAAGGAAAGAAAGAATAAGAGATAAAATTGATAGTTTTTAAAAATTTCAGAGATATAAAAATTGTGAGAAAGATATAAGAAGAAAAAGACAATATTATAAAGTTAATGAATGATAAAATACAATGTTTGAATTTGCTAAAAGGTTCAACAAAGATCAAAGAACAAACCCAAAAATAGAATTGAAATATTGGTAATATGAGAGTAAAAGTGTAATTATCAAGAAAATGGATTGAAAAGCAAGAAAATATTTGAAGAAGCTAGTGTGTTGAATACAAACAGTGGAAAGTGGATAATTTGAAAAAAAAAAAAGTTAGCTAATGATATGAAAGCAAGGAAACTAACAATTTAAAACAAATATCGGAAATAGCGTAAAAGTTATATACGCGATATTAATGGAGTTTGCTCCCAGCTACACAAAATGTGAATCCATTCGAAATAGTCCAGTATTAAAATAAATCTATGTCAGAATGAATAATGACATTCAAAAAAAGAATATCTCTAAAGAGCAAAAAAAAAAGTATCTATCAAATACGTTCTAAGTGGCAACAGTAGAAATATTAACGTAAAACAAAAACTGAAATTTTGATGAGGGTTATAGAATGTCAATGAGCTCTTACTGATATGTAAAATCATCCATATATATATATATATATATATATATATATATATATATATATATATATATATATATATATATAAAATGGACACTGAGGTCAACACCAAGTATTGACCTCAGTGTCCTCTTTTATATTTACTATAGCATATTTTAAACCTATATTTATATATATATATATATATATATATATATATATATATATATATATATATATATATCGCACAAAATTTGAAGTCATTCTTGTACACCTTAACAATACAGAAAAAATACCAGTTGACAACGCGAATATACTACACCACAAAAATAATAAACAAAAACGTCAAATTCTCTATATCAAAATCAACCAATTGACACACAACAAAATTTATCACAGGTGTAGGAGCAATGTATTGAAGTGCATATACCAAACAATTAATGCCCTTTAATATTTCTACCAAATTCCGATCATCTGCCTTATATTGCAACACATAAATTTAAAATTTTTAAATAATTACAAAGAGCGGTAAAATAAAAAACACCATCACAACGGAATGCAGATTTTGTCGCATACGTTTCTCTTTGTAATTTACACTTGAAGATGATCTTGGAAAAGTACTTGCGTAGGAAAAAAACTACGGCGCCTTCTTTGATGAATTTCAGCTTACCATCAAGAAACTGATTAGACAACTGGAAAGGATCAGTATAGACACAATATGTCTATATAATTCAATGAAACATGTTTGAATGAAGATATACTGCCTAAATATACATACATACATACATACATATATATATATATATATATATATATATATATATAGATCAGGGCTACAGGATTGTAGGACGCCTATGGCTAAGATACAAAGACAAGGTCAAAAGCAACTTCTCAGCTGTCAATATACCACATAACACCGTTGAGCGCTTAAACTTGGAGCGGGTAGAATGGAGATCAACATGTTTTAGTGGATTCAGCAGTTTTCAATCTGCTTCTCTAAATCATTTTCAAGAAGCGAGAGCAAGATCTAAAAGTTCAGCCAATCTAAGAGTGATCTCATTTCACAATCCTCACTCTTACTGCGCACCGTAATTCACAAAATCGGGTGTTAGAAACCATGAATAACGCCATCTTTCTGGTAGTGTAATCACGTGATCATTGACCACTTTGCGTAACATCTCCTTGACCCTTCGTTGCCAAAAGAATTACGTCTTAATAATAAAATATTTTTCTCTGGCGTAACATATTTTGGATTTATCTATAAATAAACGTTTAACTCATACTTGCATAATAAGAGCTGTCAGGCAAGTTATCATTAATACTTTTAAAAATGATAAATATGTTGAAATTTTCATAAATATATATTTTATCAATATTGGTTAGTTAATGCCAACTTTATTGTGAAATCATTGACTTGAATTATTAAATCTGACCTAATGTCATGTGTGTTTGAAAATAAATGAACTAAATTCCTCTATGAGAATTCCTAGTAGCTAGCTGTGGTGATGTAACAAAAATCTATGTTAATGTCTAAATCCATCATCTGTTATTATTATTATTATTATTTTTATTTTTACATTACCAATTCGGAGTGATTATTTACTGTTCAAATATAAATCTGTTATTTTCTATTCCCAAGGCATTACAGCAAACGAAGCTTCGCTTAATAAATACCAATTATCTATTTGTAGAACTAATTTTTACCTGGGAAGAAAGAAAGACATTTACTGATTTACATTGAGAAAGTGCGTCTATATTTTGCTGACGGAGTTCATCTTGTGGGCGGCACAGAAACATTTTGTTTATTATCTTCATTTGCATTCCTTTTATTTTCCCTTGGGAAACAATTTCTTTTCGGAAGCATCGAAATGAAAACAATTAATTCATTTCCAATCATGTGCTTAATTAAATATTGTTTTTCAGCGGGTCGCCGTATTTTTTGTTTTCTTTGCAAACAGTGCAGACATTTTCTTGTTTAAAAAAACTGAAAATATTTCTCCTATCATTTTAGACACATTTTAAAAGAAAGACAATTTTGAGGAAACATTCCAAAATTGTAATGAAAAATGCATGATATTATTTTCTCGTGTTTTCATAAGCCAAAGTGTAATTTTTTGAAACTTTGGTAGTATGTATCTTTATGTTTTGTTTGGATACAGTTAATTGTATTAGAAAACTTGTCAGCTATCAAGACAAACTCGAATAGAAATAATCACATCGTAACTTCCCTTGTTCTGTTAAATTATATTAGACTCAATTACTGCATTTGTTTACTGGAAGACTATCAGGAAAATGTCTTGACCAGAAAATTAGAATTAAAAAAGCCGTGTACCAATGTTTCAAGTTCATTTTTATTAAAATATTAATTATTAATAATTTACAAATAGATAATCTTTTCCTGGAATCTGATCAAGGCCTCTGATCGGGAGTTTTTTTTTTATGAGTGTGAAATCACCTCTTAATTGCTGTTGTGCCCAGGTCCATCTTAAGCCATGGTGTTAGCAATTGTTAGGGTCCAAGCTATGGGCAAATAGTTAACTTCGAAAACTGTGGTCAAAACATTATGAAAGCATAAAAATAGATTTTTCATCGTAAAAATACCAGCAATATATTTTTGAAGAAAAAATAATATTGCCTGGAATACATTTGATTCTCGACAAAAACCTTCTTTACAAAAATGCATCAAATTGATCAACAAACTGATTTCTTACAAATAATATATATTGTGTCCATACGAACCTATCCTAAAAGGCCACATGAGAATAACCCACTCGTACTTGCTAAACAAGATCAGCCAGTATGCCAAGAATGTGAAACTACATACACTATTAAACATATATTAAGCAAGTGTTCAGACCTTGCTCTCTCAAGACAAAAATGCTATAATATAAACAGAATGTATGAGCTCTTCGAGAAAGCAAATGTGGATGACATAATATCATTTCTTAAAACTGTGGGTCTTTAAAACAAAAATATAAACCAAATTAGTATCTTAATAAAATCATTTTCTCTACAAATTTTATATCTGAAAAGAATAAATTAATGTAACAAGGCTCTCGACAAAAACTTTCTTTATAAAAATACGTCAATGAAACCTGATCAACAAACTGATTTCTTACAAAGAATACATATTCTATTCTTACGAATTCTATTCTAAAAATCTTATCGGCATTAAATAATCCATTGAGGTTGATATGCCGTAAAACAAAAAAGACAAACCAAACCAAACCTGGAAGCTGACCAACTTCAGGCGTGATACGAGACTAAATCCAAAAGTAAAAACATTTCACATACAACAACGTTTATTTCCACTTATAAAGAACAAATGCACATGGCACTTCTATCGTTTAATGAACTTCTTCATCCCTTCCAGAAAGAAGGTTTTTGGTGCTCACCAAGTCACATCTCCATCAATTATTTGCTGGAGGTACCCAACGAGCACGGTATCCCAAGTCATGCACTAAGGCTGTGTACAGATCCATAGCTGAAACCAACGATTGTCGCTGCCACTTATGGCAACGTGATTCGTCGGTCTGCCCCAACCAAGGTGTCCACCCTCTTGATGTGTTCTTCCGTGCGCCATGTTGCAATTGTTATAATTGATCTTCCTGCTTTCAAGCTTTCAACCCTTTCTATCAAACAGCTTTCGTTGATTCATTGTGTTTGCTTCATACTGGGCCAACATCTGGTTATGTATTTCCACAGGTTTGACTTCCTCTATCCACAGAAAGCACACCACAGCGGCTTGTTCCTCGATGGAATGCTCCGCACGGCGAGCTACGCCTCATCCCATACACGTCAGTGCCTCCCTGTTGCTTTTTGCCACGTAATTTCAAAATCGCGCTTACTTTCTGATTTGCCCTCGTACAATCATTTATAGCCAAAGCAAAAGTCGTGATTGTTAAAAAGCTTATCTCGTAGACAATGTATAGTAAATGTGTTCATTACTAAGTGTCCTACTCTCAGCAGTCTTGCGTTGGAAGGTGTCTGTACGATGCAGACTGGACAGTGGTGCCTATAAAGCTAACTTCGTCGATTAATTCAATAAGCTAATGGCAGCTATTCTTCTATTAAACGCAGGAAATATACATGGAAATGAAACCTGAAAATAATCATGTGTATTATGGATTTTACTAGCACAGAATCATTACTCGGAATAGAAGATTGTTTGTTTCAACGGTATCCACAAGTTTTGGTAGAGTCACAGAGTTTATTTTTACATATACCTGTGGAGATAATGAAAAAAAGAGGAAAAGCTTTTACAGACGCTTCGCCTCCTTCTAATAACGGTCTCAGCTAAAAATATGAAACAAACCCTGTGTGTTAGGAAACTGCGTTGGAATTTTTGAGGAAAGGCTAAAAAAAAATCCCTCATCAGACGCTACGACCA